TAAAGTTGAGGGACCAAATTTAGCATTTAACCTTGTTAATTTACAGTCGAAATTTTGGGATTTAAACACATTGATGGACGGTGTTGTGAAGTCTTGTCAACAATGGGGTGATGCTCAATATTTTCACCAAATTTGAGAGAATTTTATGAATGTCTTTAATATAAATAAAGGGTTGACAATGACCTCTTTTGCAAACTTAAGAAATTTTTAGTGCATTAACCCAAATAAAAATTCATATATGGTAACCGATCGGCTAAAAAGGAATCTAAATCTCGCTGTTGGATATCAGTTGGTCAAGAAAACATCAGTTACTTTTTCTCAATGCTATATATAGTGGAGGCACAAAGCCTTAGACCCCACAACTCTCATAATTTCCGATTCAGCTAAATCTTGTTCCAAAACCCATCACCAACATCTTGAGTGAGCAGAATTTGAGGATGAATTCTAGGCCCCCGGAAACCTACAAGAAAATTATCATCTTTTTGATTAGTTTTTTTGTGGGTTATTGATCTCGGTGGAATTCCATTTTCATATCGGCAAGATTGTTTTTGTAGAAAATGAAGATGAATTCTAGTCAGTCATTAGTCTACCAAAAAAAATCATCTTTTGATTATTTTTTGGTAGATTACTGATCTGACTGGAATTCAATTGCATGGAAGGAGATTGTACTTGTTGAATTTGAAAATAATTTACCAAAAAATTTGATACATATGGTTTTGTTGGTAGATTGCTATTCAAAGTTTTTGCTTTTAGATCCAGAGATTGTGTTTGTAGAATTTAAAAATGAACTCTGGTCAACTGTAATTTACATAAAAAAATGTTTCTTCTTTTTTCCCCCCATATTTAGTAGATCACTTAACATATAGGAGTTTCATGTTATATGATTTTTTTTAAGATAATTATTTTCTTTTTCTTATTCATTCTCCTTTTTACGTTTTAACTTTTTTTTCTAGGTAGAACCCTCAAATAAGGGGTAGGGAAATATCCAAATCATCTTTCCAAATCATTTTTTAATTATTTTTTTGGTAGATTACTAATCTGACTGGAATTCAATTGCATACCAAGTGATTGAATTTGAAAATAATTTACCAAAGAATTTGATACATATGGTTTTGGTGGTAGATTGCTATTCGGAGTTTTTGCTTTTAGATCCAGAGATTGTGTTTGTAGAATTTAAAAATGAACTCTGGTCAACTGTAATTTACACAAAAAAATGTTTCTTCTTTTTTTCCCCATTTTTAGTAGATCACTTCATATAAGAGTTTCATGTTATATGATTTTTTTTTAAAGAAAATTATTTTCTTTTTCTTATTCATTCTCCTTTTTATATTTTAACTTTTCTAGGTAGGACCCTCAAATAAAGGATAGGAACAAATCCACCTTTCAAAAAAAATGTAGGGGCAAATCATCATTTTAAATTATCAATTAAGATATATTACTCATTTTTTTAACATATTCTGTTTGTCATACAAGCATTAAACTCAATTGATTTCACTCAAGTCAAATATGTTAGATGGTAGATTCAATAGTTCATAAGAAAGGAACCTTTAGAGACACTTTTTCTCAAATATGATTGGGTCACATTACACATAAAATTTAATGTGATTGATAATTGATATTTAATATTAAGTTATAGTATTGGCAACATTAGATATAATTTATCGTGAAGATTACTGTTAAGCGTACTAAAATTTCAGGCCAAATCAAAAAACATTTTTTTTATTAATGATCTTTATAATCAAAGATCTTAAGAAAAACTCACGAATTTGTCTCGATTACGGTAATTAGTAAGCATATCAATTTTACTATTGATATGGTATATATGGTATAGCCTATATATTAGATAATAGGTTTAATACTCAATTAAGTCCCTAAACTTTCATTTTTGAACTTAGTTTGTCCTTTAACTTCAAAAAACACTCAAATCATCCTCAAACTTTAATTTTCTGGAACCCAAATGGTCTTTCTGTCGCGGAACTGCATACGTGACACGTTAAGTCTCCACCAATTACCTCTTTTAATTTTTAAAGCTTATGTGAAAAAAACACCACACCCAATTAATGACATGACAATTGATTACATGGCACCAATTTCATTCCACGTCACATTCCCGCCTCTCTCACCTTTTGGAGAAGAAGGAATCAAGTTTGATCTAGTTTGATCTAGAACACTCTCGAACTGGCTCGCTTTCTTCTTCCAGATCTTCACCCAGATCCTTAGGTCGGTGGGTCACCATTCGCTTCTGTCCTTGTCGTCTTCTTTAGCGCACCATTTCAAGCCCTTGCCCATCGTTGACTCGCTGGAGATTGAGTCTCCTTTGACGGTTGAGATTGTCGTCATTTTCAACTCCACCACCACCATTACCGAGGAGAAAATCGAGAAAATCACAATAAGGATGGAATCCTTCAAATAATTTAATTACGCAATATGAAAATGTTCCTAGTTAATTACGTGATGGAAAAAATGGTTCTTTTGTGCTATTTTGATTTTTAAGAGCCATTTCTACCTAAAATTATGAGGCAAATTTAGGTTAAAGAATTCAACTTTACTGGAGATTCTAGGAGAAATGTTTTATTTTATTTATATTGGTACTTAGCTTAACGTAATTAGCCAAGAATATGCATGAATTCAAAGTCATGTTACTATATGTGTGCTTATGTATCTTAAGCCCATAATTGCATAGAATTCAAACTGAATTCTATTGTTTGCATAAATGTTCAATTATGTAATTTTGCTTTCCCCAACATATGCCAACCATTGCTTGACAATATTTTGAGTTGGGTCTAAAATGTGTGCACCTGCAAGTAGTTCTTGACTTGGATGAAACTCTAGTATGTGCATATGAGACCTCTACTTTGCCTCCTGCTCTTTATAATCAAGCAACAAAAGCTGGATTGAAGTGGTTTGAACTTGAATGCATGTCTTAAGACAAGGTTCCTTACATTACATCACATGCCGATTTAGTATTAAGTTGTTTCTATTTATTGTGAGAACTATAATGCTTGTACACCTATACATAAGTCAATGTTGCTGTTGGTCTTTGAAGGAGTTTGAAGGAAACATCTGGGATTGCACGAATTTTGAAACAACTTAGTGAATTTGCTGATCTTGTGCTTTTTACTACTGGGCTTGAAGGTACACTTACTATTTCCTGTTTGTATTCTTCTTCTTCCTCCTCTCCCTTTGAACTCTTTGTTGACTTTACTAATTGTCATAATCTAATTTTTAATTCATTTTATTTAGACTTTTCATATATATATAACAATCATAAAATTAATTAAAAAAATCAAAAAAATCATAAAATATAAAAATATGAAAATTTCTCTTTTCTTTGGCTAATATATCTTTGTTTTGTTTCAGGGTTTATGTGCAGAAAGAAATTCAAGAAGAAATGGAAAAGCAACTCAAGAAAAGGACTAAATTGAAGAAATTTAAAGTACAAGGCCAAATTACAAAAAATATGCAAGACCCTTGAAGTGCAGCCCATTTCTCCAACCAATTTCAAAAGGCCCAAAAATCAACCCATCAAGACCCAAACCCAAAAAAATAAAAAATAAAAAATAAAAAATAAACCCAAAAAACCCAAAAAGAAAAAAAAAGAGTTAAAATCTTTTTGCTCTCCGGAATCTTCTCCTCTGGAGCCTAGCCCCTGGCTCCTACGCTCCCTTGCGTGCTGCACGCGAGCCCGCGCCCTGCTGCACCCGAGCCCGCGCCTTTCTGCACACCAGATCATGCGCGCTTCCTGCATTCTGCGCACCCAGATCGCCTGCACTCTGCTGCGCTCGGCCTTGCTTCCTGCACCAGCTTTGCTCTGCACCTGCACCAGATCCCCTTGCTCTGCACCAGATCGCCTGCACTCTGCTTGCCCTGCTGCACCCCAGCCTGTACTCTGCCGCGCCTCTGCACTCTGCGCCCAATCCCATGCCCCTGCCTCCTGCACGCTACAGCCATACAGAAAAAAACAACATATGCCAGTCAAAATCGTGATTGACGGAGCAAAAAAAATTTTTTTTGGTTATTTTATTTATTTCCTTTTATTTTATTTGGGTATATATATAGGAAAAATCAGATCAAAATGGAGGGTCTTTGGTTGATTTTCAAGTTGATTTGGGAGTCTCCGTCTGGTTTTTGAGAGTAGTAGAGGGAGACTTCGAGGAGGAGAAAGGGAGATTTTTGCTTGCTTGAGTGTGGTGTTGACGGTGGAGAAGAGGAACTTTTTTTTTACTGGAAGGAGACTGTTTGAGAAAGGAGATTGTCAAATTGCAAGAAGGATTTCATCTTTGGTTTCCATTGTTAGGTATAGCTCTGAACATAGAATCTTTGTTAGGAAAATGATGAAGGAGATGGTGGAAGCTTGATCCCGTGGGTGGGATTCCTTCACCAAATCCAGATCTGTTTTCCTTTCAAAAATCCGTCGTGCTTGTTTTTATCTTTCTGTGGTGTTTGTTTCTTTAGATCTGATGTAGATTGTGTATGTTTCGTTGGAAAAATGAATGAAAAATAATAAAAAAAAAAGTTCTTCAGTTTATATTCTGATGAATTTTTTTCTTTTACTTGAAAATGATGAACCCTAATCTCCTTGCGTGTCTGCATGTTTTGATCTTTTGGGGTCTTATTTTGTATTTGGATCATGTTTCCGGGTTGGGTCAACCCGGTCCAGTACAGTAAAAAAAAGAAAAACTAAAAAATGAAAAGGTAAAAAAAAATATATAAATAAAATAATAAATTGATTAGGTTAATTAGTTTAATTTATGATTGATGAAATTAATTAATTTTAATTAAAATAATTTAATCATGTTTATTTGCTTTAATTTGAGATAATTGAATTCATTTATTTTAATTAAAGATTAATAAATATGATTAATTAATTTTAATTAATATTAAATTAATCATTTAATTTAATTAATTATTCCAATTAATTAATTTTAAATCTTCTATTTGCCTTAATCTTGTAAAAAAAAAAATCAAAAGTTATCTCTTTTATTTCAACTTTCATGTTTAAGCAGTTTAGTCCAAAAGTTTCAAACTTTTTCAAATCAGTCCATTTAATTTTTATTTGTGCTTATTGTGCATACATGTCTTTTATTTTATCCATTTTAGTCCAAAAATTAAAAAATGTTTCAATTTGGTTTATCCTTTTTTAAGTTTCCTTATTAAGACTTAAACATAAAGATAATGAATAAGTTGAATTAAAACCCCAATGTTAAAGTATGTAACCGTGTTTAAACGAAGGATTGTGAGGTACACGTATGCCTTTCCTCACTCCTAACCGAACCCCCGAACCTCGATCTCTGCGCAGACCCGTTTTAGGTGACTTGTTCCACCTTATAATTTGGATGAGTGGAGACTCTTTTTTATATATATATATTTTTTACTTTTAATAATAAATTTTCATTTATTTTGAAATCTTAAGTGTTTGTCAACACTAATATATATCATCTTGTGTGCTGATAGGCTATGCTAGCCCACTTGTTGATAGAATAGATATGGAAAATTGGTTTAGTTGTCAACTTTATCAACCTTCAACAATCAATACGTAAGCACTTCCTTTATTACCAGGCTTCTCAGTTTTCTGTTTTTCTAGAACTACACTCCTCTAGAAATTGATGAAATTGCAATCAAGCTTACGTTTTACTTATTTGATGCCTATCCTTCTATTGATATAAACAGGGAGGATCAAGAACATGTGAAGGATCTATCGTGCCTATCAAAGGATTTATGTTAAACTATTATTGTAGACAACAACCCTTTTAGTTTCTTGTTGCAACCTGTAAATGGAATTCCATGTATTCCATTTTCTGCAAGGCAGCCATGTGATACACAGGTACTAAAGAGTTTACATTATCCAATCAATGCTGTACTTATATATATCAGTTTTCATAACATTTTTGATTCTTCACTTACCACCCTATATCTGGTTTTAATTGTGTCAATAAGCTTCTGGATGTCCTCCTTCCACTCCTCAAGCACCTTTCCCAACAGAAAGATGCAAGGCCTGTTCTATATGAAAGGTTTCGCATGCTTGAATGGTTTCAAAAACAGGGTATCCCTGCTTCTACTTGGAAAGTCTACGACAAGTTGTAGTTGTAGCCTACTATTCTTCCATTCCTTGTACAATCCATACTAGCTTTGTTGTTGAAATGCATTATTCTTACTGGATTCTTGACCTTTGTATAGCATTTGCGTTCTGAAATTATTGATGAAAGCTGTGAAAGATCTATCAAAGCATTAATATGTTTATCTCCTATCCAATTTCCAATAGTCCAAAAGATTAATGTATTTAGATCATAAAGATTTTTCTTTTCTTTAAGTAAATTTTGTCGATAATCTTGCAATCCTGCTCGTTGTTAATGTGAACTTCAGAATTTTTTTTTATTAATATTTCTTCTTGATGGATGACTGATGGCTGGTCCTGTTTGGCACTCATATAGTAAAATGGACCAATTGATTAGCATAGCCTAACCCTATAGGCAGAAGTGCCAAACATGGTGATCGAGGGCCACCTATGGACATGCCTGGACCAAGAGGTACAACAGCCATACCCAGCTGGGGAGTCTAAGAAACTATCCACTTCCTCCAGCTAGTTTATATGTAAAAGAATTCAGTTCCAGGCATGGCCAAATGAAGAGAAATTTGTTTAGCTAATAATTAAAGTAGGCTCACATGATGTTAGGAACTCCATATCAAAATAGGAATTTCCAGCACATATGTCTCTTTAAAGCTTGCATGTGCAACAGAGAAAAAGACAGCCTAAAGCTTCCATCTTTAAACGCATATTGTCACAAAAAACTATAGGGTTTCACTTCTTGATTAGTCTCCCTTAAAAAGGACACATGAAGTTTGTAAAGAAGA